GGGAAATAAAGGGTAGGGGTTATGGAGGGAGGTGAAGGGGAGGACTGAGGCAGGGGCTGTGGAGAGTGGGGGTGCTGCAGAGAGCAGGCTCTCAGGAGAGGAGGCACTGAGGCAGGAGAAGTCTGAGGATGGGCCCTGTGGAGAGCGGGTGGCTCTGGGGTGAGGCCTGGGGGTTCCGGCGGGCGGGCGGAAGCGGCTCCGAGGTGAGGCCTGGGGGTTCCGGCGGGTGGGCGGAAGCGGCTCTGAGGTAGGGTTACCATACGTCCGGATTTTCTCGGACATGTCCGGCTTTTTGGTCCTCAAATCCCCGTCCGGGAGGAATTTCCAAAAAGTCAGACATGTCCGGGAAAATAGGGAGGCATGGTAAGGCACCGCATCCTCCCTGGGCTCCAACTTTCCCGGCTCCCGCCCCTCTCCACCGCAGCGGGAGCCGAAGCAACTTCCCCAGCACAGCAGTAGCCGGGGGGCGGTAGGGACGAGGGGGAATGCGGGGTGCTCAGGGGAGGGGGCAGAGTTGGGGTAGGGAAGGGGTGGAGTTGGGGCGGGGCCAGGGCCCCGTGGAGTGTCCTCTTTTTGCAGTATTGAAATATGGTAACCCTAGAAAAGGGGGAGGGAAAGACTGCGTGCGCATGAATCTACAAGGCCATAGATAAGCATACGAATGGGAACTGTTCTAATAAGCCACAATGTGCGTCTGCTGTAACTGCTCGAGAAGGGAGGGGTAACAGACAAAGGCTTACACAGAAACTGCTTGCAATATAAAATGGAACATGTGCTAATATGTGGTGTACTTGATTTGAGACGTGTTGGTCTCCTAGTGCCTATTCAGAGCTCTTGAATAAAGTTGGTTTTGCTTCTCCACACCTGGTGTGTCTACTAGTGCGGCGCACACCAGGCAACCAACCCCGCTGTTTGCCTCCTCGGGCCCATCTGGGCCGGCAACAGAACTATATATTGAAGTTCAACATACTGTAGTTTATATAGCTCTCTCGTCGTTTAGATATTTACACGGAGTTAATGATTAGTCTGAAAGCTAATATGAAAGGTCACATTTGATACTCGGAAATACTATTTTGGGTAGATGCTTTCAATCACTGATTATATAGAACTCAGCCATGCAGTTGACGTTGCTTTCTGCAAAACTTAAAATAAGAAATTTAAATGTTCAAAGTTTTCCAGAATTAAAGTCCCTCCCCCTCAATCCCTAGGAGCATAGCAATTCAGCGGCATGCGGCATAAATTTCAATAAAAATATTTGAAGTTAACAGAAATAAAATGAATTACAATACTACAATCATGCCATGTGCATTATTCTGTACTTATGTCTCAAAATGTCCTTGAGCCTAAGAATTTAAGCCACACAAAGCTTTGATGTTTCTACAGGCCAGAGGTGTTGACAATCAATTATGTCTAAAATGGTCTGAGCAGTCATTCATAGATCAACTTTAAGTTTTGTCTGTACTTAATTTTTTTCTCCTATTTAGCAGAAAACATTTTCAGCATATCATAATGTAAACAGTCTCTTCTGTTCATTTATAACCCATTCAAAGACTGAGGTACATCAATGTTAAAACCCTCTCTGGCTATAAACAATAAAGCTGCTATTGTAAGATAAGAGTAGATCAGCCTTTTAAATGCACCAGAAGTAGATCAAGGCACCACAACACTTGCACTGTAGAACTCCACTGTGCACACAAGACCTCAGCAGAAGGAACTCCAACAAGCTTATGCTGTGACTACAGTAGCCAAGAGATCCTACTTCTTCCCATCAAAGTAGGGATTGTAAATTGCTTTATCCATATGGATTGCCACCATTCAACTCCAGGACAGAGTAACCATTCACTGCAAGGAACAGGCTTTCTACAGTTCAATAAGAGGCTCAAATCAGTTTATTATTCAAAAGGCAAGACAGAACAACATGAAAAGAAATCATACATTCCTCTCTCCAGGAAGCAGTCTCACAGCGTTACACATCGCACCGTAGGTCTGCTTCAAAATATGCTTTCAAGTCCACCTATATTTATACCAGCCTTGGTTATGATGGATAGAAAACTCCATAAATTCCACTTTATCACCACAGACCTTACACTTCTTCTCTTATCTAGCAGCATGCATTTTACAAGACAAAGGAGTCTGTACAAACCAGACCCAGCACAGATAATCCATACCTAGTAGGCTGCAAATTTTGCAAGTCTCAGCAGAACATACACCTTGTTTTTCCTGACAGTCTACAAATACAAAGAATAGGTATTGCAACAGTTTAACTACAAATGAATTTCCACAATAAAGCTTAGCACGAGTAGAAACCATTTTGGGGAATAGTTCATAGTTTCACAACTTATGAAGACAAAGCATTCTGAGAATATACGATATACCCTACCTGTTTACAACTAACTACTTTATCTTAGTGCTAGTCTACACTACTGCTTAAGTTAATGTAACTTAACGTCGCTCATGGGTAAGAAAAAGCCACCCCCCTGAGCAATGCAGGTTACATTGATCCAAGCGCTGTCCACATCAGCGCTAAGTAGGCAGGAGATATTCTCCTGTTGACATAGCTTCTGCCTCTCATTGAAGTGAGGTGGAGTAATTATGCTGATGGAGAGCGCTCTCTAGTCAGCATAGCACGTCTTTATCAGCAATGGTGCAGCTGGATCAATGAAGTGTAATAGTGTAGACTAGCCCTTAGTTGCACATCATACCTTATCCAGTCAAAAGTGTAGTAAGAGGAAAAAGTAATTAACATTTCTGGTTAATAAATCTGTTTGCAAGAGCCAATTTTACAGTCCTTATTGCAATTTCATTCCTTTTAAGGAAAATCTGCAGCATCAGCATTATATAACTATAGCTTTGCAAGCATTAGTTTTCCACTTCATCTTTGGTCTAGCCATAAAGCATTATGGGACTCTGGACCAGTTTGGTCAATACTGAGAAGATCACCTGACACTGCTCCCTCTCAAAATCTGGCCCAGACACAAGAGGTCCTAGAAGCACTGAAGGAAATTCAAGCCACCTTCTGACACTAAAACATCCTCTCACTGGATGAGAAGAGATAGTAGAGATGCAAGATGCTCTTGACTAAAAAGATTGTTAGCATCTCCTACCCTAAAACAAGTCTGGTTACTGTTATATTTACTTAAAAAGAAAAAAGTGTTTGACTCAACCAAACCACTGGCCACTATCTAGCCTCCTATTTGAAAAGTAAATTAATTGAGAAACTGTTTAAGAGTATCCTTCAACTTCAGTTGTCCATTACTTACATTCTGTATCTCTCTCGGTAATTTTTTAAGTCAGACCATGGACTAGAAATTGTGTTGGTCATGCTGATGGCACTCAAGTACTACAATAGTGACTGTGGTATGAATACCACACACACACACACACGACGCAACCTCCTGCCCCTTTATTTAGTGGCTAATAAAATTCCCATTCCAGTCCTCCATTTTTCCAGGGAGACCACCAGGAACGGTATGTTTAAGATCAAATAAGTAGCTAGAAAAATGTGCAGAAAAAGCTAAAACACAGGTGGAGGTCAGTATGCCCTGAACAGTAACAGTCATTCTGGCATATACCAGATCTCTATTCAGTGATGAGCTCCCAAAATCCTAATAACTGGTTCCCTGGTGGCACTTCAGCAGCGGGGAGGGGGGCCTTCACTCGCTCTGGGTTTTCGGCGGCGGGTCCTCCACCCAGAGCGAGTAAAGAGAGAGAGACAGACACACACGCGCCGCTGAAGTGCCGCCAAAGACCCAGTAGGGAACCGCACGGTGAGTGCAAGCCCCACATGCCCGTCTCCCACCCCCATCCGACCCCAACCCACGTCCTGCCCCCAACTGCCCCCCTCAGAACCCATCAACCCCCCCGCTCCTTGTCCCCTGACCACTCCCTCCCGAGACACCCCCCCCCCCCAACCTGCCCCCCCAGGATCCCACCCCCTACCTAACTCACCCTGCTCCCTGTCCCCTGACTGCCCCGACCCCTTCCACCACCACCCCTGACAGACCCCCGGAACTCCCGCGCCTACCCAACCCCATTCCCTGTCCCAACCGTCCCCCCTCCCCCCCCAGAACCTCCGCCCCTCCAACTGCTCCTCCCAGCCCCGCCCCTTACCATGCTGCTCAAAGCAGCAGGAGCCGCAGAGCTGCCAGAGCGCTGGCGGCACGGCACGCTGG